AAAATATTTCTTTTTTATTTCATAAATTTTGCACCTAAAATACTCCAAAATTGAAATTGAGTCTCAAGTTTAGAATCATCATCCTATAGCCATAATAATCCATTTTTCATCCCAAATAATCATCTAAACCTCAATATTAACACATATTTTTGAATTTAATAAAAATTTAGTCTAGGGTTTGATCCATAAGCCTCAAATTCAAAATTCATCAATAAATTTATACTTTAGAACATCTATTATACTATTAAACACCTCAACAACCATATTTATTCAACATAAATTCATCTTATCTTTCAAACCTTAAATTTTTTATCATCACAAAATCAAAAATGAAAGGAGATAAGTGAATAAATTATTTTTTAAAATACTTACTTTAGTCTTAAAAAAGTTAAAATCACATTTTAAATATTCTATTAGAAATTTTTACCTTTAAAACTGTCGATGAATTCGCTCACGTGGCTTGCTCTGTTCATGTGCGGAAGAGAAAGTGAGGAGAGAAGGAAATGAAAGTAAAAAGGGCATTTATTGATTTAAAAAGCACATGTGAGTTTCATCTTCCTTTTCCTTCCATTTCTTTTTTTTTTTGGTGATTTGCCTCGCATGGATACCAAATCCGTTGCCACTCCTTTTCATTCTTTTATTATTATCATTATTATTTTTAATGTACATACACCTACACACAGCTATATATATATATATATATATTTTCATTTCTCAAACTCTTTTTATTAATAATAATAAGAATTTTAAAAATCTTAACTTGAAATTATATCTTAAATTAATTCAATAATTATCTCTCAATAATTTACTTACTTCTAAATATGTTTCAAAATCTCTATTATCTCAAATTAACTATTAAATTTTAAATTGAGATGTTACATAATACTCTTTCTATTAAAAAATATAAGACATTTTTAAGGAGTTGAATGTTAAAAAATGTAAGTTCTTTTTAATCTTTTAAGGTGTAATCCCCTTTTTTTAAAAGTGCTCCTATTGATAATGACTTTATATTTATTATAAAGTGTTTAATAAAGGTAAATATGAAAAATAAGGTTACTTGAAAAGTAGGCAACTACTTTATTGGGGGTGATATTCGGTTAAAAATGCTTTACATTTTTAAATGAAGGGAGTATTATTTTAAAAGTAAATATTTACTTATTATATTAAATTATTTTTATTATTTGTACATTTTACATAATCATGGCCCCACTTGCTTAGGGTCTTGTGTTTGTTACTACTCTCAGGTATTAAATTTGGGCATTTTCTTTAATAAAAATTTAAATTCAAATTTATCATACTAAAAGATTAATTCCTTTTATCAACTCTCACAATAATACTAAATTTTATTAAAAAAGGTGAACTATTACATTATAACAATAAAAGCCCAGGGAAATTTAAATTTCATGGGTGCAAAAGAAAGGTAAAAGAGAAACATGCATGATGATCGAGAAAACAACAAATGAAACAAAGAATACTCGTTCCATAAAGTATCAGACCTTGACACAACAAACTTGACCCAAACATGAAAAGCAAAAAAAATAATAATAAAAGACAGAGCCACGAGACATCCCGAACGAGAAAAAATTTCGAGCCTGCAGATGAAACTTTATGAAATTCATACATAGAAATGTTAAAACCAGCATGGAGACTAGCTTGGTTGCATCTGGTAATACTTAATAGAGCAATTGAAACATCAAGATATCTCTCGTAGGATCTTGAAAATCACAACCTCCCTAATAAAGCCATGGTCGTTGAAAGTCAACAGTTACTTGTTGAAAGCTTTTCCTGCTCAAAATTAGACCACAAACTATTTAACAATCAAACTAAATAAACCATAAATGTAGCGCAGCATGCTAGACCTCTAAGTGCCTGCATGGTGACTTGGATGTCCAAAATGGTATCGTGAAACAATATGAGGTTTTTAGCTAAAATGTCATGAACAGTAAAAGTTACTTATACAATAGGAGTATGTGTTTTCGTACTTTGTATTTTCTCCTTTTTATATTTTGCACCATTATTTTAATATTTTAAATTTTAAATTCATTTCAAGCAACTTTCTAACCCATATTAAAAATTAAATTTTCTTAACTCGCAGTCTAATAAATTTTAACTCACAATTTCAGCATGCTAGTGAAATTGTCTCTAGTCTAGAATTGTAGCTCTTGCCACTGCAAGTGAAACCATGATTTGTCTTGCTTGAGCAAGATCATTAGGAAGAGCCAAAATGGTGCCATTGATTAGTAAGAACTAAGAAGAACAAGTAAACTGCTCAGGACCATGGACAAAATTAGACATGATTATTTTTTTATATAAAGTTGCTTTAAAAAAGGAAATTAATTATAATGGGAAGTGACTTAGATATACTTCCTCCCTCCATCCCATTTTATAAAATACTTTTGTTGATGATTTGGTGTCTTAAAATACAAAGCATTTTGAAAAAAAATATGATTTAGTTAATGATGATTATTGTTGGCCAAAAAAAAGTTAATGATCATTATTCCAATATTACCCCTCATTATTTTATTTCTTCCCCCACTTTATTATTAATGAAGGAAATTTTTGGGAGTTTATAAAAAAATTAAGGACACATTTATTTAAGATTAAAGATAAGTTATTTTTAAATAGTTTAGAGATTTTATAATAAAGATTTATTTTGTATATATTTTATAAAAAGTTAACACTATTTTATGTTTAGTTACAATACAAAAATAAATATTATTTATTATTTTTACATTTTATAATATCTTCATGAATCTCTATTTATAAAAAATAATTGATTATTTAGCTATTTTAATATTTTATAATATCTTTATATATCTTCACATTTTTATCTTATTATTTTTAGAAGTAATTCAAAAGTAATTTCACCAAATAATTAAAAATATTTTTTTTAATTTCTAGTTATTTTAAAAGTTTAAATAAATATTATAAAAATTCACAAAAATAGATTTATAAATTGGGATGTGAGAGTGGTAATAAAAATACTCTAATATATTCTGTCCCTATTACAACAACGCATCTTTCAGAAATGTTATATTTTTAAATATGAACATGTTATATTTATTTAGAAGAATGTGAAAACATTTAAAAAAATAAAGACCAGCCACTCCTAATCAATTAATGGGTGGGGTATAAAAATATTAAAATCATTGACTTATCTATGGGCTAACTTAACAAGATAGTTGATCATCCAATTGTCTTCCCTGTTCAAAAGGTTAAGGTTTGCAATCCAACTTTTACGTAAAATCATATTTATGAAATTCATGATACTTTGAGAGGTATAATAATTATAGTTGTTCTTTGTGATTGTTGAGGTAGCCTATGCATAACCAAAAAAAATAAAAATCTCTACAGTTCTATACCCTTTTAGCTAATATAAAATACCAAACAATTCAGCACTAATATGAGAGATATGCCCTACTTTTTGATTAAAATCCTCAATTTTAGAATCATTTTTATCCTTCAAAACTCCACCACACAAACTGCAGCTATTAGTGAGAATCAACTCATCAACTTCAAGTTGAACTCCGTCCATCAAATGTTGTAGAGCACCGTGACAACCAGTCATAAAGAGTTGGGGTAGGTTATTTTTAAATTTTTAATTAACTACAATTCTAAAGAATGATGTAAATGATTCTTCTATCACTCAATCATTTTGAGTCATTTAGAAATATTACTTGATCTTTAATATAAGACATTTTATAAGTATTAATTATAATTTTCTTAATATTATTTCTTATTTAAATTTATGAAATATGAAAGAGGAAATAATGTAAATTTAAAAATTTTTCATTTAATATTTTTGGACCAAGTTAATTTCAATGGAGTAATCAAAGTGGCTTATACAGTAAGTACCGCAATGTCAAGCTGAGAAACAATGACTGTCTCGAAGAGATATCAGCCTTCAAGAGTCTGCAACGTGGCAGAAATTAGTCGTCAATTCCTGGGGTTCATTTTTTTATATTTTCTATTTCTTTTGGCTAAAAATCCGTTCAACGATTCTTACAAATTGAACAATCCCACGACAGTGTCAAGAGGGGAAGAGCGAGAACGATCCGTGCTCCCGGGGTGTGGGAGCCATGGCAGTAGCAGTGAACTGGTTCAAACCTTCTCCATTTCTCGGTCGCAAATTATCAACTCGCTCTGTAAGTCCGCCTGATTTGGCTTCTGTGTTTGACTGGGAAAATGGCGAATGATGTTTCAAAGTAGTGCATAAGTCTGTATATACCTTCTTATGCCTATGCTATTACTTAGCGTGGAAACACTGAACAAAGAGATTGAAATATACTGAAGCATTGTTTGTTTGTTTGAGCATTTATTGTTCTTATCACATTTTATTTCTATTGATGTTTTTAGATTTACTGAATCTGCAAATGATGATTTCGCTGTAGGCAAATTTACCGTCTGGAGAGTGCATGGGGAATTCGTTACAGCCATCTCGAATCAATGCACTATTTTGGCGATCTAGGAAGTCCATGGAGTCATGGGAAGTGGACTCTGTTTTAGGTCATTTTACTTTGGCAGGGTCCGACTCAGAGGTGTTCTCTTTAAGTGGTCCTTTCATGGTTCTTTATCCTTGAAGATTTATCTGTTGTTCTTGCTTTTGATATGCTACCATTTCATTGATTCCTGTGCTCAGGACACAGTGGTGAAGCTGGCACAACCCAAAAAGATAACAGTGTCAGTTGTATCTTCTATCTCTGAGGTAGCATCCTGTGAATGGGATGCTTGTGCTCTGGATGCCACAGGCACTGAAAAGTTCAATCCATTTCTTACCCATGGATTTTTGTCAAGTTTAGAGGATTCTGGTAGTGCAGTGAAGGTGTGGAAATCTTAGCTTCTACTGATAATTTTCTAATGATATGCCATCTGAACGATTAGGATAGAAAGCATGTAGCTCTTGGTTCAGTCTGTTTTATGATTCCTCTGTTGTGCCATGTTATAGCTTAATATGTTGAAGTAGCTAATATCAAGCTATAACCCCCCCTTTTCCTTTTCTTTTAAACTTTCAAGGTGTCTCACTGTAATACTGTTTTTATTTCTGCATGTTTCGTCCAATGTAAACTCTATAACTTCCATTGTAAGTAAATATGACATTTCAGGACGGGTTCAATTTTGCCAAGTCAAAGATGTAAATGTTAAGAAAGTGAAATCCCTTCATTGGCCCAAAATCAAGCCTTGCCCCACTCCTCCCTCCCTCTAAATTAATGGTTTTCTTTGCTTCTATTATTGGCAATGAGGGTAGAAGAGTACTGAAGATGATATGAAGAAGCCGTTAGTCATGTTTTCTTATCCTGTTTCATGATAATCTCCTTTATAGTGAATTCTATCAAATTCTGAGCCAGAAAGGTCTTCCGTGTTTGCATTCTGTCATCGCAGATAGAATACTTGCCTGGGTTAGTATATTGACCCAATGGATGCCAGGATATTCTATTTTAATGTATTTGAGATCCCATAAGATCAAATCAAATTGGTTTACCCTTCCTGCTATCTATGTATGGATTCACATGATAAATACAGTTGACTGGATTCTCTTTAAAATCTTGAGTATTTCTAAGGCTTCAGAGTCCTAATTTTTTTCATGGGTGTTCGCAGGCATGTTGCAACTAATTTCTTTGTTGTTCAGATGGTAATTATTTGTGCAACGAAGCACTGAAACGTATAATGTTGCAAGTTATAAGTACGAATGAAATGCTAGTAACAACAATACCTTGGGTGCTATTTGATAAAAGCAATTGTCTAACCAAGAATAGACACTTCTTTCCTCCTGTTTTTTTCCCCAATAAAATGTATCTCTTTCATCCTCAGAAACATTTTGTTTACACCCATTCAGGGTCCATGGTTGATATTACCCGACCTTTTTTTTTTGGGTCATATTACTGGTGACAAACTGTCAATGATACTGTGAAAACATCTGCATTTTCCTGTTATTGCTCAAAATTTCAGGAAACAGGATGGATGCCCCGTCACATCATTGCTAAGGATGAAAACAACAAGATTGTAGGTGTAGTCCCACTCTATCTTAAAAGGTTTGGCATCTGCTACATCATCCATGCGGCAAGTTATTTTCTAGTTCGTTATGGAGCTTGTCTATTGTTCTAAAAGTAATTTTCCTACTGCTTTATATTAGAGCTTTTATCGAACCTTTTATCTATTGGCATTCTTCTCACCTATTGATTTGGGTTGCAGCCATTCATATGGTGAATTTGTTTTCGATCATTCTTGGGCTGATGCATATTATAGCTATGGGTTAAAATATTACCCAAAGTTACAATGCTCTGTGCCATTCACGCCAGTAACTGGTCCAAGGATTCTAGTTCGTAACACCTCATACAAGGATCAAGTTTTTGACGTTATAGTATCTGCAATGAAGGATCTGACTGATAAGGTATCAAATTTATCATAGGGCCATAACTCTTAGCAGGTTGGCAAGTAGTTGTTTGAACACCCTCTGTTTTACCAGTATCTTCTTGTTGGTTTAATTTGCCACTTTGTGATCACCAGTTCAAGAATTGTCATTATAAGTAATATCATGTTCACAAATCTTACTTTCTCGCTATTAACTCTTAATATGAGACTTAAAGTTCTTCCTCTCGACAGAGTTTAGAAAACTGTTTCTTGCTAAATACTTCCAGTTCTAAAATTCTCTCTTAACTTGCATTTATGGTTCTGCTTAGGGAAAGTATTAAATGTAGGGAGGACCATTACACTTCCAACTGATGATTTAACTCATCCTTATATCACTTATTGAATTAGTTTAACATAATCTTAGATATTTTAAAATTGAATTCATTGAAATTAAAATAGTTGCAACAGTAGCAGCAGCACTCCCTGTACAAAGAAGGCTGATGGAGATGTCAGTGAGGAGGGTTGAATAGATGGTTTTGAGTCCTATGAAGAAAGGTAGAAAGGGATTAAAAAGAACACTTAAGGAGGTTATTGAATGGAACCTTTTGGTGAATGGTGTATCCAAAGAATGGGTTGTTGCTAAAACACAACATCTAAATGCAATTAGGGTTGGATACACGGTTGAGTCTTGTGAAGAAAGGTAGAGAAAGACCAACAAGATCACTTAAGGGGGTTATTGAACGGGACTTTTTGGTGAATGGTATATCCAAAGAATGGGTTGTTGATAAAACACAACATCATAATGCAATTCATATAGCCAACCTCACCTAGTGGGATGAGGGTTGTTTTGTAGTAGTAGTAGCACTAGCATTTGCAGCAGCAGCAACAACAAAAGTAGTTACAGCAGCAGCAGCAATAGTTGCAGTAGGTGCTACTGTTGACACTTTTGCTATAATTGCTACTGTTCCTGTTACACTTTTAACTGTTTTAAGTTTAATGAATTATAGTTTTAAATTATTTAACATTATGCCAAACTAATTCAGGAATAGTTCATCTATAATCTAGTAATCTACCTTATGGCAAAAATGAGTTTTCCTGCCATTTAGAATCTGTATGAGAAAACCTGACCTATCCTTTACTGTGCTTTAGATGAATCCACATTCCACAGATCAATGGAATATGGAATCTAACTTGATAATCATATAATTTCAACTCAGACAGTATAACAGGATGCACAGTACACTTTAAGATTTTGGCTACAAGCTTTCCTTGTTTTTTCATAGTCATTCGTTTTCATATGGACATTTTTTCTTTCTCTTGGCAAATTTTCTTTGACCCACACTGTCACTGACATGCTAGTAGAGTTTTTTATATTACAAAATTCTGTGTTTTTTATTCACAAGGTTCAACTGAATAATTAATACTCTTGCCAATTTTGTGACATTAGAACTCTTTTCAATTTTGAAGTGTTATCTGTGTACTGAATTTCATCAGTTTTTTATTAGCATAAATAGATTTTGTTATATTTTTTCTTTAATTTCTGTTTGGTTGTTGTTCTAGCATCAACATCTACTATGCATTTTAATCTGATTTCATTTTCCTGACAGTCTCAGCTTTCATCATTGCATATTACTTTCCCCACTGAAAATGAGTGGCACAAGCTTGGTGAAAAAGGTTTTCTACAGAGGATGGGTATGCAGTACCACTGGAAAAATCGTAACTATAAAAGGTGCATAACTATAAGGTCCCCATCTTTGTTAATGTACAACGTTCTTAGAATGCGTTAAGTTTGTATGTTAGTTTTGGCATACATTTTGGCTTCAACTAGGCATTCTGATTTTGTATTCACCCATACTGTTGGGGTTAGATGAATTGTGTTGGAGTTTAAGGTCAGCATCTTTTACTTCTTTTCCTCAACTTAAATTGAGCTCTCTCTTTCTCTCAAAAAAAGAAAAAAAAAAGCTGAAGATTTTCAGAAAATAATAAAGTTCTTTATTTTGAACCAATGGTTGCTAAATTACATATGGGAGGAGGTCAAAGGCGAACCACTAAATCAACCTCAACCATAAAAGGAAAATGATAGGAACATAAACGCAACTAATGACTCAACATTGAAAGCAAATAATGAAATAAAACCTCTTCAGCCCATTAACTCCTGTAATTGCATGTGATTCTTTTGATGAGTCTACACATTGAATGCCCAAGAAAAATCAGATCGTAACCAGACAAAAATATTTAAAATAAATTTCAGGATTAAACCAAACATAAGAAAGATCAAAAGGTCGATATGAAAACATAATAGAAACAAGTCAACTATTACCTCGTTTATTAGCCAAAAATTTGATTAATTACATGATTTCGAATACTTCTCTTCAAGCTGGGCAAGGCTTGGAGCTAGCATTGTTATTATCCTTTTTTCTTGGTATTTGGCAGACATGTAGCCTCCCTTGAAATGAGCTGGTCACTGCTTGCAATGTTCAATAGCTTGGTTGCAAGTTCCTTTAAAGAAAACACTCTGGCACAATGTCAGCTGTCTGAAACTATTTAGAGTTTCTCTAGTCAGTAAAATACAAAGAAGCATCATAAGCTATGCCAATGCTGATTAGGTTTTTTTAGCTTATACATAATGTTTCTTCAAGCTTGTAGTCATGTGTCCTTGTTGATGGCTTTCTTACCTAAAGACCATTATTCAATTGTTCTATATCACTTATTTCTGACAATTAACTTTTATGAGCTCTAATTATAGTTTTAAGCTTTCCAAATTCTGATTCCTTTTTATATATTTTTTATTCTTAACATTGAATTTGCACAGCATAAAAGGACTATTAAATACTATTCCCCCCCCCCAAAAAAAGCCTGCACCTCTGTTCTTGAATTGACACCTGTCTTTCTCAAAATACTGGACCATGGAAGGAATCCAGCATTGTTTTCCGGATCCTCAATGCAGTAAACAAGTGACATGATGTGTGTTAAGTGTGATCAATCATTATGATACATCAATAATTTACCTTTGGCTCTTGTGACTTATAATATTACATCTTGGCATCAGTCAATGTCATTTTGTTATTATGTCTACTTGGCAGTTTTGACGAGTTCTTGATGGACATGAAGCAAAGTAAAAGAAAAAATATTCGCCAGGAGCGCAAAAAGGTTGGTGTTTGTTGCTGAAGGCTTTGTGACATGGACAGAAAATTTTAAGTTGTGTTCAATGCGCAAATCCAGTATTGGTTTTCCTGTTTCTTTGTTCGTATTTTTAAGAATTTGCCTTCTCCTTTTCATACTCTTTGCGACAGCATAATGAAAAAAGTTGATTTTGAATTGTTGCAAAAGTTGTTCTCATTGTTTAATCCACATGTAAAATGACGGTGTATTTAAGATGGCATCTAAGCAGTTGACTTTGTTTGTTGGCGACATAATTATAGGAACTTTTATGTGCAGGTTTTAGCCCAGAACTTGATTATGAAACGGCTCCGTGGTTATGAAATAAAGGTACTTTTCAAGCGTTATGGGCTTTACAGGTTTTTGTGTGTCTTTGCAAGTGTGTTTCTTTCTTTTCTTTTCTTTTTTCTTAAATTGATTTTGTTGCTTTGTGCGGACTCCTTTTAAGGTTCCTGTTAGAATGTCTTACTCTATTCTTCTGTAACTCTCTTCTTTATTAAAATTTCTTTCCCTATGAATTCGTAAAATTGTAGTGTCAAGCAATCTTTTCTAGAATGCTCAATTTATGTATTTGAAGCCTTGATATTTGATATGGTGATAAAGATTTAAGTATGGCCACGTTTTGGTGTTCTTCCTATGTGCTATTCTGATCCTGAATCCAGATATGGAATGTGATTGAAGAATGTTGTGTCACTATTAGTCTTGTTCATGTGTGCTTTTTTCCTTTCTTAGGAGGATATAATTGCCTTTTTGTTTCTACTCTCTTTTCCTCTTTTTGATAAAATTTTTTCTTTTATGGGAAGAATTCATCTGAAGAACTTATGGTTGTTGGAAAAGTCTTGATGACTTTACTAGCATTTTACTCATTGACGCTGGTCAGTTTTGGTGTGTACTTTTATATTGCACATCCATGTGAATAACTCTACTTTCCATCAAGCAAATTTTACTTGTATATTATTGGGAAAACTTCAGCCTTATTCTTTCAATTTATTCCCTCTTTTTTTATGATTATGTATTGGCAGGCAAGGCACTGGGATTCCTTCTATAAGTTCTACAGGAACACTGCTGATAACAAGTCTGTTTCCTATGATTGAACCTTACATTTTCAAAAGAATCTCATCACATTGATAATATGGAGATGCATCAAATATCAGTACTTAAACATTGTAGTTGCTTTATTTTATAGGTGGGGTAGCCCTTACCTGACAAGGGAATTTTTTCATGAAATGGGATCAAAAATGGGAGATCAGGTGTTGCTAGTTGTTGCAGAAGAAGGAGATGAACTTGTTGCAGGAGCTCTAAATCTTATTGGAGGAGATACTTTGTTTGGGCGTCTATGGGGATGTAGCCCTCGAAGTTACTATCCAAGTTTGCATTTTGAAGCCTGTTATTACCAGGTACACATAATTGTTTAATGAGTTTAATATTATTTTTTTACATTGTATATTCTTTTTTTATATCTTTTAATTTATTTCCTTTGTTTTTAAAATTTTCATTCATCTCAGTAAGGGTTTACAGTTTACACCAAAAGCTTCTGCTGTTGAAAGAAAAGAATGTTTCTCATTTTCTTCTTTCTACTTTGCTTTTTCAAGCAACAAAGCTATTTAATATGAATGTGACTTTGATGCTAGTTGCCTTGGTCTTTTTGCGGATTGGAACGTTTCCACCCTCTTCCCCTCTTGTTTTGCTTGTCTGAACTTTTACCTGTTTTCTTTGATTGTTTGCATTGCAGCTTCTCCGCAAATTTCACTAACCCAAAAAAAAAAAAAATGAAAAGAAAAGAAAAGAAAGAAATCATACGTCAGGGCTTGCTTGGGAATTGGGAGGAGAAGGAAAGGAATGCAGAGGAAATGAAAAAAAATGGAGAGATGTAGAAGAGATTTTCTGATGATAATTTCCCTTTCCTTGGTGGAGAAATTTTGTCCTCCAAAATCCCCAAATATAAATATATAAAGGAAATAGGATTTCAGAGGGTTAGTCAGACATACTTCGTTATCATTCCCTTGTTAACAAATCCCAAACTTGCAAACTGAGTCTTCTCTTCCATTATCTTCAGTTCTAATACACTCTTACTGATTTCGTCTCTTGTACCAATGTTGTATATATGTCAAAATTACTTCTGAAGAAAAGAATTTAATTAGCAGAAGAAGAGGGAGGTTACCTATTTGCTTCGTAGGGCTGTTTGCAAGGCTGCCTCAGACCTTCAGCCTGGGCCCACCTGGCGCCCAGGCTACAAACAGCCATATCACAAGCAGTTGCAGAAAATCACATAGGAGGCTTTGTTTTGCTTCCACAACATGTTACACTAAATCCTGACTCACAATCTTTGAGTGGGACTCTGTTTCTCAAGTGTTTTCAGGCTTTCATGTCTCTTTTGTTGTTTGGTTAGATCCTATAATTCTGAAGGTTCACCAAAATCTCAAATAGGAATAGTATAGCTCAGGGAAGCATATAATGAAGTTAATGCATTATTTGGCATCTCAGGCAATTGAAGCGGCGATTGAACTCAATCTTCAAACAGTCGAGGCTGGAGCTCAGGGTGAGCATAAGATCCAGCGAGGGTATATGCCAGTGACAACTTATAGCAGCCATTACCTTACGGAAAATGGATTTAGGAAGCCTATTGAAGACTTCTTAATACGTGAATCTTCTCAGGTATGATAATTGTTAGCTACTAAACTATATGCCATTCTTGAAAGGATATGCAATTCTTTCTTAATTTTATTTTTCTCAGCCTTTCAAGTTTTACATGAAATAGGCCAAGAACGGAATTGAGAAAAAAGAGGAGAAAATACGAGAATGTAGGACGAGTCTGTTGGGATCAAATTCAACAAACTGACTTGGAAACAGTAAATTTTTGTGCTCACTATCTAACTAGGAATGCCAGAGAACTGATAGAATCTTTTGTAACCTTTGATCAACGATCCTGTTATTGTATTAAGGTGGTGGATGATGAAAGGAATTCCTCTTTGGTACTGATTAACTGTGACTACGTACCGTCTTGGTATCTGTAAACCCCTCTTATTAAAAAAAAAAAAAAAACTTAGAAACAGTCCCTCAGGAGAACCTTCTTTTACTAGCAAACTACCCAATTATACTGAATTGGGAACCATTCATTCCAACCTGTCAAAGTAGGTGCCATGTAGGCAGAGGCTTAGAAGTTCCGGTGTTGACGTGGATATATATGGCAAAATGGTATTGGTACTATAACACCACGAGACATACAGTATTCAAGTTCAATTTTCAGTGTTGTGCTGTGTCTAATACAAGTGTCAAATGAATATGGGTTGAGAGAAGACTTCTGGTTCTGGAATATTGATGCTTCGTACGCTCTAGAAACTCGTTAATTAGCCAAACTAGGAATAACAACTCAGACTACATAATCAACAAACAAGAATCTCCTGCTTTGGATTATATCACAATGTCTAAGTGATAGGTTATGCTCTCGTTTGTATGACAAAGATGTAACCATTTTCTTGGTACTGGTCAAATTCTGCCAGAAGGTCCAGAGGCTAGTTTTCACACACTTTTTAAGGACTGTTTCATTCCCTCTTCAAGTGTAGCCTTTCTGGTGAAACGTCATTACTATCCATGTTAATCTAACACGGATGATTTGCAATTTTCTTACTTTGATTTGTTGTCTTCTTGCAGGTGAAGCTTGTTATCAAACTCTTGCATGATTCTGGCCCTTTTAAGGAAAGTATCCTGAAGGGAGAAATAAATTGACATATTAATAACTTGGGAAAATATAACTTTGGGTTTCTATACTTTACTCGCATTTTACTATTTGTCCTTGCATTTTTTTTTGGGTGTTTTAGGTCTTCTAAAGTCCTTACACTTTGTAAACAATGAAAAACAAAAGTTTAGGGATGTAAAACACTGAAAAACAGTGCAGGAATTAATAGCAAAACGCGAGCAAAGTATAAGGACTGAAAATTATGTTTTCCTCTAACAACTTTCATATGTAAATATGCATATGGTTTTTTTCTCTCTCACTTTGTAATTGTAATTATGAATTTTTTTAGGATTATTGTATAGTAACATGATGAAGCGGTGGCTATCCGTACTTTTAGGCTTTTGCTGCCAAGGATAACTAGTGCAGCTCCATAGGGGCCACCCATTCATAACTTGCACCGGGGCCGATGGTTTAGCAGTGGAGGAAGAAATGATTAATTAAAATAAGATTAATTGATAGCATATTGAATTTTAAGTAAAATTTGGGGAAGATTATAGAGATGGTGTGCATTTTAGCAATTATTGGTTATTTAAATTTTCTTGTTTTGTGTGAGACATTTCTCCTTTGGGGGAGGTGTTTCTTAGAGTAATAGGGAGTATGATCATTTCTCCATAAATTTGTTGGTTATTCATATTTTATTGTTTTGATGCTAATAATACTAGAGAAACATTAGATGCGATCTTTTGTCTTTAGGGGAAGACACTATGGGACAAAAGGGCCAAATTTAAACTAACAAAGAATAAGAACATTTTAAAAATAATACTTGGGGCAATACTCCATTTATAAGATATTGTGTAAGTTATATATATTTTTAAAATTATGTCTGTATTTTATTTCACTTGAATAAGTTAAAGGTTATATTTATTTTATTTAAATGTACAATTGGAAAGATGTAAAAAACCTTAAAAAATTTTTAAAAATAGAAATTAATTGATAATAATTTATATTGTAGTTTGATAAAGTATAATATTAATTGCCTCACAATCTTACATGTTTTGCTTTAAATTTATATTGATATGATATCAGTTTTGAGCCCGAAGTCTCTAGACTATCTCAAATTCTCAATCTATTCATTGTTTATTGTTAGATTATTGTTTTAAATTTCACTTATTCACTCGTACATATGTGACAAAATGTTATGTGAAATTATGCTATTATCTTCTTCCCTTAACGTTGAAAGTGAACATATAACTTCAAATAGCCGGCATCAAACCATGAAAGTTGACCTAACTAAGGTCTTATTATCAACTTCATTAGTGGGGATAGTTCAAGCTTTTTAATCATGAGAGGTGATCTAGTCAAGGCTGTACATTTATTCTTGAATCATAGATTCTCCTATCTCAAATATAGGATTATTACAAAACTCTATTATCAATTTTGCTAGTTGGAGTTTAAGGGCAAGCCCTATTATTACATTCACTTGGTGGAGTTTAAGAGTAAAGTAATGAACCAAATACCAAGGCCTCATTGTATTGGTGTGATTCACATGGGCACAAATCACTATTACAAAGGTGAACTCCTGCCATCATTATGATTATGCAACTCATCACATGGCATATCACAATGTCGTTATCATCATGCTCATATTCATCAACATTACCAAATTCAAGAGTTGAAATCTTTATTTTCATATTTCATAATTACATTGATATTTAAAGCCCTACTTGCATATTTTAAAACTAAAACAACATATATACATTTAGATATTTAAAAAATATATTTTCAAAATTCACAAATACCTATAATTAATTAACAAGTAATAACATGCAACAGAGTCTTTGATTACTTTAAACCTTTGAGAACTTAAATGTTATGCCCAAACAAAACTTGCTTTTGAGTTAAATTCAAGCTCTCCAATGTTTCGTGAGGTTAATTTATAATTAATATCAACCATTGTCACTTATGTCAATGACAACATTTTCAACTTCTAATTTCACACTTTAACAATCAAATTTCCTAACCATAATTTCAATCTCATACTTAATGAGTTTATTAACTCCCATTAATTTCATTTAACTCACATTAACTCAAATAATTACTAATATAAGACTTAACAAATCTAAAGTCATCCTTTAAAGGCTTAGGGTTCGTCTAAAATGGAAGACTCAAGCTCACAACCTTGTAAAAGCTCTTAAATTAGGTTTAGAATACTTAAACAACTCTCATTAATCTTATTTAAACCAATGGTTTCGGATCTATAGTCTTAGGTTTGAAAATCTCACCCTTTACATCAAACTCCAGCTCAAAAATCTAGTATAGAGAGAGATGAATGGTAGAAGAGACTTACTTTAGGGTTTAAAAGCTCTTAATCTCTTCCAAATGCTAGTACTTTGTGCCCTAGCAGAGTATTTACTTACACCTATCATTCTCACTCACTCACTCACACACACACACACACACACACACACACTCTCTCTCTCTCTCTCTCTCTCTCTCTCTCTCTCTCTTCCTGTTCTATAACTCATATTTGTTGGTTTTTTATTTTAAAATTTTGTCCATCTGCTACAGCATATGGTGCATCCGTTGCAATGAATGGCATAGAATGGCCAAGTCCAAGTTTGTTTTCCTACTTTAGTCCAAAGTGGCCTAAGACACCTCTAAACTTGATCCAAAAATTAAAAATAAATTTAATAGACCTATTAGTCATTCTAAACCATATTTAAACTAATTTAAACTCAATTTTACTTATTTAATCTTGATTAGTTCACTTAATCCAAATATTAAAAATTCAAGATGTTACACTTGTTAGTGGAAGGACTAGAGCTTGAGCAACTAAATTTTGTATCTTTTTCTAAATTTTGCTAATTAATATACAGGGGCATTTTTGTCCATTCACCTCATCCTTCTTTGCTTATTCTAATGCACCTAGTCCTTCAATTTGTCTTGATCCTTGAGAACAATTTCCCTCCTAAGGTGGTCTTTTGTAGCAATTTCCCTTGGATTCTAATATCTCACACGCGCGCGTGCGCACAAAGAGAGAGAGAGCGCGCACAGAGAGAGAAAAGAGATATATATATATATATAGAGAGAGAGAGAGAGAGCTGCCTTCAACACGCACACACAGTGTATATATACCTTCAATTAACTTTAGGTATTGTTTGGGAGTTTTGTTTTAAGGATGGAATGGAATAGAGCACAATGGAATGATTAAAAGTTTTATAACATTATTTGGAAGAATTTTTTAAAAAGGAGTGGAATAGCTTGAGATGGCTTACTAAGTCATCCTAAATTCATTTTTGCTAACCTCTAATTTGGGAGGTCAATGATGTAATGTCATAATATATATAATGTTATTATAAAATTATACTCATCCTTCTCATCTTACTCTTTCACTCCTTTTCACTTTAATATTGAAAAACATAATTATATCCAATTCAAATTTATTAATTTAATAATAATTTTTAAATAATTGTTAAATAAAATTATTTATTTCTCTTATAAAACTTCCAAACAATGAAATGTTCTATTCTATTTGACTTCATCTCATTCCACTTCACCTCGTTTCATTTTATTAATAATCTTTTTGTCATATACTCTCAAATATATTATGAAGAATTATATACAAATTTCAAATAAAAATTAATTACTCACAAGCCCTGTTTGCTTGTAAATAAATTTAACATGTAAATAAATATAAAAATTTAACTCGTAAATGCACTGGAAAATGATTAATTTCTTTATTTGGAATTTAGTTGTAATTCTTTTTAACTTTACTCTTTTTGGTTTGAGAAGAGGAGAAGGGAGAAATTAAAGTGTATTTGGTTAGAAATTTTTGAAAGGAAAGAGAGAGAAGGTTGGGGCTTTTTTTTGTTATTTGGTTGATATTGAGTAAAAGAAGGTAAGAGAAATCTCTTATTTGATTTAAAAATTGAAAAATTGGAGGGGAAGAGGGGGAAGCAACTCCCCTTCCCATCCATTCAATTTAGGATTTTTTTTGAAAGGAAAATAAAAGAAAAAATAATTATATTCTAATTATTTTAAAAATTTTAAACCACTCTTGATATTAAAAAAATTATGTATTATCTTTTCTTTTCTTTTATGATAAAATAAATTTTATCAACTTACAACATTAATATATAAAATTTTAATACTAATAAAATATAACATTGATGTATTTGTTTTTTAAAATTATTTTTATTAATATAAGCTCATATTATTAAAATAAAAAATTAGTAAATTATAATATAATTGTTTTTAATAATAAATAGAAATAAAATAAATTAAATTTAATAAAAATAAAATTGTTAATTTATATTTTTTATTCCACCTAACATTCCAAACAAACCCCTCCCTGACCAAACACAATGGAGCCTATAAGCTATAATTTTAGGAAGAATTTCAGTTAAGTATTGAGAAGAGATTTAAATTTAGGAGGGTTTAAAAATATTTTAAAATTTTAGTTTAGTGTAGGAAAAAAATTAAAAGCATTTTGATAGTAAAAAGACTAAAATGTCCTTTACTTGTTATGCAGAATAACTAGTTATTAATTTTTTTATTTTATTTGTTAATTTAAGAATATGAGTTGTAAATTTTATGAGTTGACATGTTAATAATTATATAAAATTTGACATTATTTTTTTAATTACAAGCAGCAATATCAGTTGTTAAATTTTTAATTTTATTTATTAATTTAATAATATCAGTTATAAATTATTAATAGTTCTTATAATTTATAACTGATATTAGAAATTAATAAATAAAGTTAATAAATTAATAACTAATGTTATTAAATGTCTGACAAACAAATGTAATTTATATGTAATATTAATAAATTAATAAGTATAATAAAAAAATTAATAATTAATAATTTTATAATATGTAAAAAATATTTTGCTCCTTTAACCGTTAAAATACTTTTAACTTTTTTTTTTTTAGAAGTAAACTGAAATAAAATATTTTTACACTCACCTTAAATTAAATCTCTTCTTAAGTCTTTTGTTGAAATTCTCGCATAATTTTAACCGAACAATCGGAACCTGGCCGCCAGTTGAAGTTTAGTTCTCCTTCACTCTTCATTTCGAACCTCGCGCCGTTCTAGTTGCAGCGGCTCGTCGCTGCTGCTCCTGCTGTCGCGACTCCGTTCCCCACTGCTGAAGTCGTGCATGTGTAGCCGCTGCTCGTCTACCCCGTTTGCGCCGATCAAGTCGCTGCTGCTTGTGCCGTCGCACATCCGTTCAGACCTATTGTGAATCAGCGTCCTCGGAGCTGCCTTAAAAAAAAGTCCTCGTCGTCGACACCCATTGTGAATCAGTCCGTATTATTATATTCCGAACCAACTGGGATACTGAGGTATTCAATTTCTGACCAAACAAGATCTCCATTTCAATCTCAATGCTCTATATATAGTTGTGACCGTATATAATGTATTCGGAGACACGAAAAAAAGGATGTAATGAAGAAAATGAATTTAATTACTACATTATTTTCTGTCACCGTCTCACCCTTTTTCTAAATGAACGGCTGTAGAGAATTCAATCTACCTCCACCGTTCTTGTAAATTTAGTTTTTGCTTCTTTGTGAGTTAATGTTCTAATGGGCTTTACTTTTTTTTTTTTTACTCGCAGAAATTCAATAATGTGGAACTATTTTCTAGGAAAGAAATAGATTATGTTCGGACATCGGGCTGAGCACTTTTTCGAGGTAACTTCTTCGTGAGTTTTGGTCAATTTGTAAGACATGGCCTTTGTTTTTATTACGTGTCTCATTAATCTTAATTTCAATGCATGTATTGAAATGCATTTTAGATTTCCATCTTTATGTTGTTTTTGCAACATATTTTTAATTTCACTTTTATATATTTTCTTGAAATGGATAATTTGTTGGCTGGGCTGTTTTTAATTTTATTTGTTGTAGTTGTTGTATTGTTTTGTGACAGGGAAGCTGAGAACAATTATCGCGATTTTTTTTTTTTTAAAGAAACATCCCTTTTTAGATCCTAGAAATTGACATCTAGATCGGATAACGTTATAGCCACTCTAGAAAGTATGCTTATGTGTCTTTTTCTAGATCGTTCTAATTCTAACCGATTTGAAAAAAATTTCTAGATTGGTTCAATAATTGATATATCCACTATATCCATGTCTAAGTGAGAACCGATCTAGAAAGTCCTCAACAATCAATCTAAAAAGTCTTTTTTTACGCTAGTGGAGCCCAAAGTCCCAAAACCAACATATTCACAATATACATATATACGAATATTAATTGCCTCAATCTTCTTTTGTGGTTTGCATTTAGTTTATATTGATATGACATTAGTTTTGAGCCCAAAGTCCCTAGAATTTTTCAATCTATATTTTTTTTTAGATTATATTTTTGGATTTCACTTATTCCCCCGTACATCTGTGGCAAAATGCTATGTGAAATTATGATATTATCTTTCCTCTGACGTTGAAAATGAAAGCATAACTTCAAATAGTAGGGGTATCAAATACCTTCATCAAAATTACATAGGTGATGCAAAAATAGAAATCATAAGTAACATGGGAAGGAATAGAGGAAATAGGACATAAAGAAGTGCTTGTATCAGTTTGCATGTTCATCCTCATTAGTCTTCTCAATGTCCTCAGCTTGTTTTCCAAGCCTTTAGTTTTCCCCACTTCCTGAAATTGACCTTTCGGCCTTTCCATTTTCTTTCTCTTATAACCTCAGTCTCATGTTTTGGTAGCCCTTTTATTGCTTGAATTGACATAGAAATACAAGTATCAGATTCTTTGAAGAAGGCACAAGCATTGAACTTGATTTTTGCGGTTGCTAAACATAGTCATAAGGTTACATCTCTTTGTGGATCTGTCACTTATTCTACTTCATTGAAACTTAGGCGACTTGAGTGGATACCTTGTTATATGTGTGTGTGTTTGATTACTGCCTGTATATTTCACATAAATAAGTGATTATATGATCACTTATGAGTATAAAATATGAAAATGAGGCATTGAGTTATGGTAGCAAGATTTTCACCTCATGCATTTTCAAAATCACCTCAGAAAAAGTGTCAAAACCAGGAACTGTCATTTCTGACAGACCTATGTTTTCTTTGTTTTTGGATACCAAATGAATTCCAATTCCAGTTGCTCTAATATTTTGCTAGTATGTAGCTCGTAAGCAGAGCTTTGTAACAAGTATTAATTTGCAATTTCCTAGAAAGAGTTATGCAATTTCAAAGTTGTGAACAAATTTAGTTAGATGTGATAATATGGGTTACATATTTCTTAACATTCCAGCTTTCCATTTATTTCAGAAAATTCTGTCCTAATCTTAGTAAAGATCCTCTAATATCTAGATTTCTCTGAAGGAGTCTTCTCATGGCAGCAATAAGCATAATGGTCCCAGCCTCAAGACAGCTTCAGCTCCTCCGCCACCATCTTCCACTGGGCTGTCATTATTGTCATACTTCCACTGTCTGGTGTGATTTGGCGCCATCACAAACTCATGATAAGTCACTTGTAACCCAAGTGGTGCAACTTCTCCAGGTACCTGAAAATGAGTGGAATTTTGATCAGCTTCATCCCCTGCTATTCTCCACCACTACCACCCCTCACCACCTCCACACAATCACACTACATTTGGGTTCCTCTTCAAAAGCCCTAAATTTTCTTGAATATGTTAGAGCAAATGCACCATCTGAGCAGAGCCCTTGTCTGTCTCCCATATTCCATGGTGTTCTTATGCTTTTCAGTAAAGAGCCCATTTCAGAATGTAAGCTTTTGGAGATTTATGAGAAAGTCAAGCAGTGGAGCATCCCGCTTACTTTCAGATCGGCTACTCTTCTGATTCAGTGCCTTGGAGCGGCTAAAATGGTGGACGAGTTGCTTCTAGTTTTCAATAATCTTGACCAATCTGCAAAGAGAACCTGTGTTGTCAATACATTGATCAGTACATTGTTTAGAGTGGGGCATACTGAAAGTGCATTCCAAGTGCTTGATGAAATGTGTAAACCAAATACTGTGTTTCCTCCAAACAAAGTCACTGGTGATATTGTTTTTGGTGAATTATTGAAGAGGGGAAGCCCTGTAGGTAGCATTGCTGAAGAGGAAATAGGTTGGTTGGTAAGAAAGCTAAGTAAACATGGTGTTTTCCCTAACACCATCAAACTCACACTCCTGATCGCCAACCTATGTGGGAAAAAAAAGACTCGGTTTGCTTGGGATCTTTTACATGATGTAATGAAATTAGGTGGTGCAGTTGAAGCTGCTTCATGCAATGCCCTCTTGACAGGTTTGGGAAGGGATAGAGACGTGAAGAGGATGAATGATCTCTTAGCCAAGATGAAAGAAATGGAGATACAACCCAATGTTATAACCTTTGGGATTCTTATTAATCATTTATGCAAGTCTCGGAGGATTGATGATGCATTGAAGGTGTTAGAAGAAATGAGAGGAAAAGGAGGGAGTAATGGGATGAATGTTGAACCTGATGAGGTGATATTTAATACTTTGATTGATGGACTTTGTAAAGTTGGGAGGCATGATGAGAGCTTGACCTTGTTGGAACAGATGAAAAATGAATGTAGGCCAAATACTGTTACGTATAACTGCTTGATCGATGGTTTCTGCAAAGCTAGCAACCTTGATAAAGCACATGAGCTATTTGATCAGATGAACAAGGAAGGAGTGGTACCAAATGTGATCACCCTCAATACACTAATTAATGGTTTGTGCAAACATGGGAGGGTTGGCAGTGCTGTTGAGTTTTTCAATGAGATGCAAAGGAAAGGCGTAAAAGGGAATTCTGTGACCTATACCTCTCTAATCTCTGCCTTTTGTAACGTGAACAACATTGATAAAGCCATGCAATATTTTGACATGATGTTGAGTTCTGGATGCTCTCCAGATGTGATCGTCTTCTACAGTTTGATATCTGGTTTGAGTCTTGCTGGGAGGATGGATGATGCTAGTCTTGTTGTGTCAAAGTTGAAAGAGGCCGGATTTGGTCTTGACTTGTGTTGCTATAATGTGTTGATAAGTGGATATTGCAAGAAGAAGAAGTTGGAAAAAGTACATGAAATGCTACAGGAAATGGAACAAGCTGGAGTTAAGCCTGATATTCTCACTTATAATACTCTAATATCCTTCCTTGGCAAGATTGGAGATTTTGAAACTACTTGTGAGTTATTAAGAAAGATGAGAAAGGAGGGTCTTGTGCCTTCTGTGGTCACTTATGGGGCAATTATACATGCTTATTGTTTACATGGAAATGTTGATGAAGCCATGAAAATGTTCAGGGAAATGAATTCTACACTGAAGGTTCCTCCCAACACTGTCATATACAACATTTTAATTGATTCTCTGTGCAAGGTTAATGATGTAGAAAGTGCTCTTAATTTTATGGATGACATGAAAGTGAAGGGGATTAGACCTAATACAACTACATATAATGCTATTTTGAAAGGGATTCGTGATAAGAAAATGTTACATAAAGCATTTGAACTTATGGATAGCATGGTTGAACATGCTTGCAGACCTGACTATGTGACCTTGGAAATTCTAACTGAATGGCTCTCTGCAGTTGGTGAAATGAACAAATTGAAAACTTTTATCCAAGGGTACACGGTTTCCTCTTGTACGGTAGAGCGTGACTAGTTTATGGTTTGGATATATAGTCAAATGGTCATTATTTGTGTTTCAACCACAAAAGAGCAGGTGCACAGTAAATGCAACTTGGGTTGGGTAGATATCAATTCTTTCCTATTGTTTAGCTCAATCTTATGGAGTTGAGATATTGTAATGCAATGTATGTCGTATGCCATTAAGACTTCATTGCTGTGAGGACTTAATAATCCTAATTCCAAGAACTATAATTTATGCCTGATTTTCAGCTTAAGATCAAATATGGTACGGATATAGATAAGCTTTATCAGACAACTTATTGCAGTCGGTTTTCAACATGGATCCTAATAGATAGATGGAAACCCCCTGAGGGTTTGTGAGTTTTGATACTGATGGCTCAGTTCTTGATAGTAATGATACAGCTCGTGGTGAAGTAATTAGAGACAAAGCAGGTAACTGGATTAGGGGCTACTGCAACAAGCTGCCTAATTACCCTACTGCTATAACTGAAATTTGTGGCATGATTATGGATTAGATCTTTGCTGGGACCTTGGTTACAGGAATGTTGAGGTTGAGGTCTTTATTGGTTGTGCTCTTGCTATCAACATCATTTCCAGGGACCAATTGTTTGACCACTCTTTCCAGGATGTTATTCTAAAAGCTCGTGAGTTCTTGTTCTGTAAATGTAATGCTCCTCTTAGTTTCATGTATAGGCATTTAAATTGTACTGCTGACTGCTTGGCTAGAAAAAGCCATGAACTTGATTTTGCTTTTTGTATTTTTGATCAACCCTTATGTTTTGTTCTAATTGGTGGTGGTTGATGAAAGGCTTGTTCCTGATTAGATATGGATGATCTTTTCATGGTTTTATCATTCCGTTGAATACTAGAATATCTTTTGTTTAAAAAAAAAATATATCTTGGCGACGAATAAGTTATAAACGTTGCAATTCCCTTAGTAGTTAGTTTTCAACTTATTTCTTGCTATTTTCATTTGTCTTGTACCTTTATTGAAATTACTTGGCACTATACAGTTTTTTTTCCAATAAAGTATACAAAATGGTCATATATTAGTTTATAAATTATTTGATTCAATTTTCTTCCCCTTTTTTTTTTTCAACAAAAATGTAAAGCTGGCTATGATTATCATTAATAAGTCAAAATATTACAACAAAACAAGGGCTAAGTCTATCTTTTCTCATCATTTACGGCCTCTTGATAAGAGGTCGACAATGATCGAGGATGCAAAAGCTTTTCTTCCAAGACATGAAAATAGTAAGCTAATGTGGAGCTGATAATTCAGGTTGTTTATTTGAATTAGTTTTGAAGTATCTTACCTTCTTAAAAAAATTTATATAGTTAAATTTGGTAATAATTTTTTTTTCAGGCGGGGTTGGGCTGGCCTGAATTACCAACTCTAAGCTAACATGAGCTTTGGACCAATTTTCATTCTTTTGAAATGTTGTACAATGAATTTTGGCATTTTGTTCTTTATACAAACAGACAAATTAAATATTACAAATAAGACTCTTCGTCGCTTCCATTAACCCAAAGTTCTTTGGTGGAATTAAGTTGAAGCTACCATTTTTTATTAATTGAGTTGAAGTCTAGCAGAATGAGTTAGTTTCTTATAATATAATAAATTAAAATTAAATCCTTGCTAGTAGATGTGTCTATATTTAGTGTTTGAATTTGCTTTATATAAGATTGCTTCTAATGTAAGGATATTTATGAGCAATAAAAAAAAAGCAGCTGTTTTTTTTAATAATAATTAATATCTTCACTATTAATATATACTAAGATGATAATTTGATCAAGTAAAAAAGATATTAATTGTTCTTAAAAAAAAGATATTAATTGAACATAAAGATTTCATCAAATGCATATTATATATTGAAATATAGGATTTAAAAAAAAAAAAACCTTTAACACGCCCCGTTTGTTGCTTTGTATATATGAGTGATGGGTCAAAACTCAAAACATTTTCTGTTGGAGCTTTTATGTTTATGCATGTCAAAAGAAGTCTTCCATTTCTCAAACTTGAAAAAAACCTTAGCATATAGTATATATTAAGATAAGAATTTAAGCAAGTAAAGAGGTTAAAAAGAAAAGTGGATTGCTACATATAATAACAGGCCAATATAATTGAGATTTAGCTTTTTTTTTTTTAGAATATTAGCCCAATGGCTATGAAAAATAGAGTTCTCAAGAAGAAAAAATTAATTTTTTAATCTTTTAACTTTTAACTCATTTGTAACTCAATTTCTTAATTATAACTCACTGCAACTCAATCTCTCAATTATGACTTACTGCAATTTAGTTTCTTAACTTTTGTCTTACTTATAACTTGATCCTCATTTTTTAATTTTTTTTAAAAATTTTCTTATCAAATGAAAGGAATAAAAAAAATGTTCATATTTTGCTCTAAAATACCCCCTCTTGCTTTTTGATGTGAGATCTAAATTAACATAAAAAAATAGAGCTAACAAAAGTTGAGAGATTGGATTAAAAGTGAGTCAAAAGTTGAGGGACTAAATCATATGCAAGTTATAGATGAGGGACTGAGTCACAGTGAGTCATAGTTGAGGGATTGAGTTACGAGTAAGTTAAAAGTTGGAATATTAAAAGATTAATTTTTCCTTTCAAAAATTATGGATAAAATTTTCAAATATTTTGAAATATGGCCTATTCACAAAATGAGTTGGAGTTGATTTTTCCTTTTTATCCACAATAGAAATATATAAAACATGTAACGATAACTTTCGTATGAATTGCGTTAGGAATATATCTCATATAATTGAACGATTTTAACGTTGAACTAAATTCTTTAACTTTCAACTAACCGAATCGATTCCATGCACGTACAACCATCTTATTTCTCTCCTTTTCACAATTATTCCTTTCCTTTCTTGCCCCACAATGATCACTATCAAATATTTCTCAACAGTATTATCCAATACTTGTAAGATTGATCATTAAATTCTAGTTTTTGGAAGTTGAACAGTAGGCCAAAATTTATTATCTATCATTCACCATCTTCGTATTTCTGAGTAATATCTTCACCAAATTGTCATTCATTTTTTTTATAATATGTGATTTATTGTTATTGATTATGAAACTTTGTATGAATTAGTGCCAGAAAACATAGGTTATTATCTCATTGTTCATATTTTTATTTTATTAGTTTAGGTATTTGTTTTTTTGTGATAAGCTAAAAGTCTATAATTTTTTGCAAATTGTATTTGATCCATTTTGGACAAATGATTATATATTTTTTGTGTTACTGATCTACGATACTACATCATTGATATACTTCTATATATCAATGATATATTATCATAAATCAATATATCCAGACAATCAGACATAAACTCATTTATGATTGATATATAGTCATATATCAATGATGTGGTATTGCAAATCACTAACATGAAAAAAATATAATTACTTTCCTAAAATGGATCAAATATATTCCCCAAAAAAATTTTGAATTCTTAGCTTATTATAGAAAATCAAATACCTAAACTAATAAAATAAAAAATCATGAACAATTTAGGTCTTCGTTCATCTGCTTTGCTATCTGACATTTAGGGAAACTAGAGCATTATAATTTTAAAAGAGCAGTTTTGTAAATTAAATTTTAGATAAATATTAAAAAGCCATTATTCAAATTCAAAAAAGGTCGGGTTATTATTTTTGTTTGGTCCTATGATATGGGCTAAATTTGCAAAACTCCCTTTTTTTCTCCCTTTGAGTGAGTTATAAGCGGTGTCAGACACTTTAATAATCATTAATTACCTTTAATATTAACATCCAAAAATGATTTCCAGAAATTGTCATCAAATAATATTTAATCTTGAAAAAATGACAATAAAATTTTTTTGAATTATGTAAACGACGTTTTGGTTCTTTAAAATGCTATAATTCTCCTGAATTTTTTTAAAAACTTTTCTGTCATTAAAGAACTACCATAAATCAAATTGCCCTCAATTCAAATTTCAATTGCCATTCACAAGTTTTGTTTAAAGATTTACAATTTTTTTCCTTAAAATTGTAAGAATTCAATAGCAGTTGACAAGTTTACATTTAAAATCTTAATATTTTTTAAGCATTGCAAATATCAATTACCATTCACAATTTTTTTAAAAATTCACAATTTTTTTCTTTAAAATCATAAGAATTCAATAGCAAGTTGCAAGTTTAAATTAAAGACAATTTAGTTATTTATATTAATTCTTTAATGACAGAAAAGTCTCTAGAGACTTCAGAAGAATTATGACATTTTAAGGGATTAAAATATTATTTACATAATTCAAAAAAAATTTATTGTCATTTTCCCTTTAATCTTTATTTGCCTTTAAACTACCCATGATTTTTCAGCCTATATAAATATGTGCTTTTAATTTGTTTGAATGAATATCGTTCTAGAGTCTTCAAACTCTTCTTTTCCTCATGAGTTCTTTCTTTCCTATTAATGTTGCTGCTGTACTATCACCCTATTAGTTTTCCATGAGAATTCTGCGTAATCTTGGGAAGTTGTTGATGACTGTATCAAACTAGTTCTTATGGATAGTGTAATTGTGCATGACTCAAAATAGATATTTTTATAGGATTTTCCAACACTCCCATGCATCACCAAGATATTATTAATTAAATTGATTAATATCTATTCTATTATAAAGTTGATTAGCTTTATACGAGTAATTTTAAAACTTTCTTTTAATGTTAGTATTCATTTTCTAGTATCTCCCATTTTTGACTTGTGCAAACAAAATTCAAAAATTAAATATAAGAAATATAGCATGGATAAAATAAAAATAAGAAGCATGATCCTACCGGAACCGTCAATTAGTATTTACAAAAAATTATTCCAACATCATATGTATTCTCACGTTTCAAGCCTAGGAAAGCTATCTTTTAATTTTTTTTTAACTCTATTATTAGTAAGATATGTTGATTCAACTCCATCAAGAAGTGAGGCCAAATGTCTTCGGTAACATTTGGTTATTTGATAATCAAATCAAATAATCTAGTGCATTCAATGTCAAAACAAGGGATCATATAAGCACATGTGTGTAAAACATTTTTAAAAGTGATTTGATATTTCAAAATATAAGATACTTAGATAAAAATAAAATTTTATTAATTATTCTTGTTTTAATATTACCTTTCTCCTTCATCATACTATCTCTCTCTATTTAATGTTTCACAAATAATATTATATTAAATATCTTGTATAGATAAGGACTACCACCTCATTCTTGTTCTATGTCAAAAAATCAGTAACACTTGAGGTATACAGTTCTAGAAGCATTATCGGTTTATCGTCGACCAACTCAATCCAAAACTCCTTTTTAAAATATTAATAACTTCCATGATCATCCTTACTCTATATATATATATATATATATTTGGATTCGGTGGTGATAAATATATTCATTCAATGAGTGTTTTATATATCATGATAAGAATAGTTTAATTTAATCAAATAGTTGGCAATGATTTTGTCAAAGAATGCTCGAAAATATTAAATTTCAAATTTTTAAAAAAGACATTATAATTATAAGTGAGGTATAAGGAGTGTTCCTAATTATGTTAATTGTTTTGAATTTTTAAAGTAAAATATATATTAATAATTTTTAAGTATTAATGAAATGTAATCACTGTAATTAAAATATTGAGTATGCTTTCTCTCCACTTTTTTCCGGGCCTAATGTCACGGATGATATTTCCGTGACCGTGTAAAGACCAAGATAATGAACGGTCCGCTGGTTAGCCTCGCACAATATGGGTAAAGGGGGCGACATTAGCATTGGGGGTGTTCTGCCTCAGTCTTCGGACTGTGTGCACAACTGGTCGGGGGCTAGTGCCGCCTCCCTGATGAGCCCATGGCAGGGCGAAACCAGTGTGATCCGTACGTGGTAAGGCTTGTCCTGAGGATTATGGGGTCCTCCAGGACGCCGCACGGGCGCCGTGTGCTGCGCCAGACTCTCAGCCCGTGACAGAGTGGTATCAGAGCAGGACGTACTTTACTGCCGTGTGCGCGTGGGGTCCCACGTTGGGACTGGTCGGCCTCGGCACCGCTCCAGAAAGGCCTCCGAGCAGGTGGGTCCAAAAGTGGGGACTCGGGCGGGATGGTTGGCCGTTGTCGACTCCACTCCTGTTGGCTCGCGGGTGCGAGTGGGTCCGAAGAGTGCAGGACTCGGGTGGCCACCCAGCAAGTGAGCTGGTGTGTTTGTGGCAGTACTGTACGTACGATCCTTGGGCGGAGTCGTTCTCCCCTAGCACGAGGGCGTGCTAGATTGGGTGTGGGAGAATGTCACGGATGATATTTCCGTGACCGTGTAAAGACCAAGATAATGAACGGTCCGCTGGTTAGCCTCGCACAATATGGGTAAAGGGGGCGACATTAGCATTGGGGGTGTTCTGCCTCAGTCTTCGGACTGTGTGCACAACTGGTCGGGGGCTAGTGCCGCCTCCCTGATGAGCCCATGGCAGGGCGAAACCAGTGTGATCCGTACGTGGTAAGGCTTGTCCTGAGGATTATGGGGTCCTCCAGGACGCCGCACGGGCGCCGTGTGCTGCGCCAGACTCTCAGCCCGTGACACTAAGCTCCCTTGACTAAACAAGTTGGTCTTCATAAGTAATTAACCATTAGTTAATATCTTGGTCCAGTTTTCACGTTTGAAAAGTGTTCATTACCTAACTTAGCCTAACGATATGACTTTAGAAGTCGTGAGTTTGTTCAGATTTCTAATTTCACATCTTATTACTTATATCGTTTTTTTTTGGTTCAAAACTTATACTTTTGTTTGTCTATGATATCTATAATTTTATTAGTCTCAGTATTAATCCATATTAAATCAAAAATGTCGCATGATCATGATCATTGTATATAAAACTATTGATAACTACTTATAAATATAAGCCACATGTTTTGGTTAAAAAAGAGGCCATTTAGGGTGGAGGGAAGGGAAGCCCTCCTCCACACCTCTCTTTTAGATTTAATTTAAATAGTTCAGATTTAATATTTTTTTATTTTTATTTTTTAAAAATAAAAAATTTATATAAATTATAAAAAATTTTAATAAATTTATTTTTCAATATGGATAATCTAAATTTAATAAAAATGATCCTATAAATTTTTTATGTTAATAAATTTAAAATAAAAATAAAAATTATTAAATTTGATTCATTCAAATTAAATATAAACATCTCTCATAAGAGGTGAGGGGAAAGGCTTCCCCTAACGGAGGGGAAGCTAACTCCATTTAAACTTTTAAAGTAGCTCATCTACTCATATGTAATAAAGGTGAATGGTAGCAAAGGTCAAGGATTCAAACTCTTTCAATACATGAATACTAAGGTTTTGAAAAATCAAATCAATTATTAAAATAGGAATAGTAGTTATTTAAGAGTCAATGATGGCACAATAGTTGAATCATGAGCAGACCGGGTCATGATTAATTTAATATATCTCTGATTTTCCATGTTAAATATAACATTAGAGGTAATATTTTATGAAATATTATTCCTTTCAGTATAAAATATAAGCATTTTTCTAACTAATCTTAATTTAAAATATAAGCAATTTAATATATATATATATATATATATATATTTCTCACTTTTATCCCGTGTGATTGGTAATTAAGAGTAAAGGTGAAAAAGGAAAACAATATATATATATATATATATACATATTATGAGAATAAAAATTTTATTGGTACGCAAATTTTTTCAAAAAATAGCTCATATTTTGGATTGAAAGGAGTATTTTAAAAAATTAAATTTATAGGATGAGTTTAAATAATTTTTTTGATTTTATTGATGAAATATAACTTTTTTGGGATTTTTATTACATATCATTTATTAGTATAAAAAAATTGGAAGACAAGGTGAGAAGTTGCTTTCTCTTTAATTTAGCAAAAATATTATTATCGGTCTTCAAAAATATAATTTAAGAAAATTAATAATTTTTTAAAAATTTAAAAATAAAATAATCATGGGATGTAATATTTATATAATTCATTTGATTATTTATGATGATAAGTTATGTACTATTCAATCCCGTCTAATCAGAGACAACAATTTGTCTGGCTTTATTTAATGTTTTTGGGGAGACGCAAGGAGCATACTCTGCCAATAATAGACTAATCTCTTATGGGATACTAAGGAGATCTGAATTTTTTGTGTTCCAAATCTTCTCATTTAGTGAGTGTCCATGTTGTATGACTAAATTTAAATGAAATGTTGAGTTAAATTGTAGTTTTATACGGATACATTTCAAACATTTATCTACAACCATATGAATATCATTGGGCTAAAGTATACTTCATCTGGAATAAAATATAATGACATTAATTGAGACACTAATTAAATCAGTGAATTTATACAAATCCTCAGATTAAAGGTGGAATGCTTTGCTCGTTCCAGAAGAAGTTGCCAAGATCAACAGCAGCTTTTACTTTAGCCAATCTCTCAAAGTTGTTCTTGAAATATTTGGAACCCCAAGACGTTCTTGCTTCTTCATAGCTTGTGTTCTTATCTCTATTCACTCCCAAATCCAAGTCTCTGTAATTTAAATAAGCTCTTCTCGGATTCTCCGAAACATACGGTGTCATGTACTCGTACAATCTTCTCATCATCTCCAAGTATTTCTCATCATCACTCGAATTATCCCACGACACAATATATTGAATCCCATAATTGATCCCTTTTCTATGTGGAAATGGAGATTCTGACTCTGAAATCTCACTCATTCTTCCTCCATAAGGTGTCAGTATCAACAATGGAGAATTGTCCTCATGCAGTAGAATCTTCCATAGCCCTTTTAAACCGGACAGAGGAATAGATTGTTGTGATGTTACATAGTCCGATTTGGCTTTGAAACTAATCCGAGATGTTTGGTTCCTTTGAGTCAACAAATCAATGGAGGAATTCACTGAGAAGCCTGCAAAGTAAAGAACAGATTGAATCCAACTCATTTGCTTACAGTTATTTCTCTGCAAACCCAGTTCTGCAAAATTCTCGCTCATTAAACTCACTGCCACGTCAGCTTCTCCAAGATACAGCCCAGTGAAAGAAATTGTCACAGCTTTATTAGAAGAGGATGACGATGAACTATTCACATTTTCAATTCCCATCACTGCATGAAGAAACATCTCCCCAGGAAGCTTATCTGCAATATCTTGCCATTTCATGAATGTTATTACAGAATCATCATCATCATCATCTTCAACAACGCGTGTAGAGATATCAAAGATTGTTACTGTTTCAGGGACACGCACTAGTTTAACTTTCCATGAAGTTATAACACCAAAGCTTGATCCTCCTCCTCCTCGTATGGCCCAAAACAGATCTTCTCCCATTAACGTACGATTCAGTAACCTGCCATGAGAATCTACAATGACAGCATCAACTACGTTGTCAGCTGCTAAACCATATTTTCTGAAAATCGTACCGAACCCGCCACCACTAAGATGTCCTCCTATGCCTATTGTGGGACAGCTTCCAGCAGGGAAGCCATGAACCCTGCTTGCTTTAGCAATTGCATGATACAGTTCTCCAAGTGTTGCTCCTGATTCAACCCAAGCAGTTTCGTCTTCAAGGTTTATAGTTATGGATCTGAGGTTGGAAAAATCGAGAATTATGAAAGGTTGATCTTCTTCTTCGTGGGATGTATAAGAAAGACCTTCATAATCATGACCACCAGATCGAACCCTAACTTGAAGACCTTGTTGTTTGGAGCAGGTTATGGCTGATTGGATGTGAGAGATGTTATGTGGGGTGACAATAAGGATCGGTTTTGGTGTTGATTTGTGTGAGAACATGAGATTTCTTATGGAAGATTGAAGAATGGGTTTGAAAGATGGATTTTTTTGAGTGAATATGATTTGTGAAGTTGCATTAGGGTTTGGTGTATTTGAGGAAAAACACTGAACAAAACCATCTTCGAGGCTAATCGAAGGGAAAATGGAGATGAATAGAGGAAGAAGAAGAAGCAAAAGTTTCTGAACTTCGATGGCCATGGGCGTGTGAGTTTGAAATGTGTGGAGAAAAATGGAGGGACATGAAATGCTTTTATAATGTTGCCAAGTGAACAACATACACGTGCGTGTGTGCGTTTCATGTGTATAGCTCGAGGTATTTTTAAAATTATTATTGATGAACTTTTCTTTGGTCAAAAGTATTATGGATGGAATTAAGAAAAGAGAGAAAAACCCTTAAAGATGAATTAGAAGATTTTGAAAATTCATTTTAGAATTTATGATTTATGTGTATTTTGTTTTACTTATGGTAATTTTACATTTATTGCTATTTTTATAGGATTTTGTCGATTAATGGTATCATTCAGAATATTTACATTTAATTTTAGATTTTTTATAAATATTCTTGCATTTATTTTTAGGATTAGATTAAGGTTTATTAATAATGTCTAAAGTCTTGACTCTTTCGTATCGTATGCATTATTTGTATGAATAAAAATTGATATTATCTTACTTTTCTAAGCTTTCCCCTTCTCTCTCTAATTCTTTGTTATCTTTCACTTCTTTACCCTCCTCTTCTCCCTTTCTCCTTTCTCATTCTACATCATAAATTAGCGTAAGAGCTACGTTCTCACTTCACTTTTATTGCCAAATTGACTCTGAAAGCAAAAGGCTTCTTTTTTGAGCCATAACTGTACTTTTAATTCCAGATCTTGTTTCTTCACATTTTCACACTTTTTGCTGAGTTCTTTCCATCCAGAATCTTCCTAGAGCCAATAATCATCACAGAGAAGCTCCAATTTCAGATTATTTTAAGTTTAAATTATTTGATATGGTACCTTGATAATAAATTTAATTTATTAGGCTTTTGGATATTGCAGAGTTTTTTTTTTCCTTCTTATTTTTGCTAATCCTTTGATTTTTCAAATTCCCTCTTTTTGAAATTTCCTTATTATCCTCATTCCCTTTAATCATTTAATTTTACCCTGGATTTTCTCCCAAAAAAGAGGGGAAAAAAGCGAGAAAAAGAAAAAGAGAAAGAAAAAAGGGGGAAAAATGGAGGGATATATCACATATAAAATGGTTTTAATTTATAATATTGTTCTAAGTAGAAAGTATACATATGCTTGCATGTATGCGTTTACACATAGTTAGAGGAATTTTTAAAAATATTATGTTGGACTAACTCATTGGAATTTACGTACACGACGTGCCAAACTCTGTTGACTATAATTATTAATTGTATTTTGAATTAAACAAGTTGGTCTTTTGTAAGTAACCTGCATCAATCATGCATCCACTGAAAAATATTCTTCATTCCAACCTACAAGTTTGTTCAGATTTCAAGTTTTCTTGTCACGTCTCTTGTTTGTTTATGCCCAACTTTTATTAGCACATGCTATGTTAAAAAAAAGCAAAAGAAAACAAAAATAAAAGTACAAACATATATTTTTATTTATGACTAATTTAATTAATAATGCTTTTTTTAATTAGAATGATCACCTTAAAATTTAACTATACTTTTAATCCCTATAAATTTGTTGCTTTTTAAATTGTTTCCCTTATATTGAATTTTTGTAATTGAATTTTAACATCTAGAAATCACATTTTATTGATTCATTTTCTATTAACAATTAAACACACTAAAAAAAAAGTATTTTTTCACTTTCAACAACGATAATTAAAAATGCCAAAAATTCAATTTCTAATCACAAGAAAGGAGAAAGCAGTTGTTAAAAACCACTTACCTTGAAGATTCTTGGCCACTACCAAGCTTTGGATCACTTCCTCAAGATTAGTCAAAACAAATCATAGCAGAACTTATCTTTTCTTTTTTTCTCTCTTTTTCTATTTTTGAAATGATGAAATTCTCTCTCTTTTACTTTTTGATATGGTGCATTCACCGTGGCCAATATCTGCAACATTATTAATGTCTCAGAGGTCACAACCAGTTGATCTCCTTCCATCCAATGTGCTTTTATCAAATTTTGATACTTGTTCAAAAATTTAAAATATTTTTAATTAAATTTTATTCATTAATAAAGTAATAGCTCACTTTTCAATCAATCTTATCTTTTTATATTTACTTCTATTAAGTACCTTATAATAAATATAAAATCATTATCAATAGGAGAACTTTTGAAAAAAAAACAACAATTACACCTCAAAAGACTAAAAATATTTTACATTTTTAAATATTTAATTCTTCAAAAAATGTTTTATATTTTTTAATAAAGGGAGTAAAACTTAACTTAAACCTATATACCTTCAATTCATTTTTTAGTTAGTCAATGTGAGACTTTATCAATACATATATTCTAATACTAATGCCAATTATCTTCCAAACACTAGCTTCTCCAACTCAAGAATATATAAAACCCTTTATTTGAATATCTTCTCAGACTATTTGAATATATATATCATGGCTCATGGTGTTATATAGAAGGAACAAAACTTATATATAACTAAATGTTCAAATAAATTAGCAAAAATATTCAAGTAAAAGTGTGTTCAAATGAACTCAGGGCTAGCTCATGGTTATAATTGTTGCAAGATATATATCCTTTTCTGTGTTTTAATTATCTTGTTGAATAATGAAAAATCACAGGAAAAATATTGGGGATTGGACATAAGTTATGAATAGCAGAGATGAGAATGTTACGATGGATGTGCGGACATACACGTAAAGATAAAATTCGAAATGAGCACATACGTGAAAAAGTGAGGGTGGCACCTATTGAGGAAAAAATGGTAGAAAATCGGTTGAGATGGTTTGGGCATGTACAAAGAAGATTAAGGGAGGCACCAGTGAGAATAGTGGAACATATAACTTCGAGTCCGACTAAGAGAGGTAGAGGAAGGCCTAAGAGAACACTCTTGAAAGTTGTTGAACGTGATCTCTTAATTAATAATATTTCTAAAAGCTAAATAAATGATAGAGCACAATGACGTCTTGCAATCCATGTAGCCGACCCCACCTAATAGGATAAAGGCTTGTTGTTGTTGTTGTTGTTGGACATAAGTTATGAGGTCTGACTGAAGCAATATAATAATACAAATATTAATGTCTTTGATTTGCAAATAAGGAATTTGTTGTACGCTCTACAACGAATTGTAAACCACAATATTGCAAAACTTAAGTTTATGTCCTTGATATACTTTCCTCCAATATATTGTTGCCACCTGGATGTTTTGCCCACCTCATCAATTGACTCTCCTTTAATAGAGTTTTCCACTGTCAGCCATCAAAAATGAAAAGAAAATAAATAAACCTAATTTTTAATTTCGTCTCAAATAATCCCTGTCGGCGCCGTTGCTAGTTTTTGACCCTCACCCGATTAACCCGGCCAGTCAAGTCAGTAATTGACTCCCTTATTAAGCAAACAATGCCAAACTCTTCCTTTTATATTATATATGTAGTTTATTACAGCTGCTGGGTTCGTCATCCATCATCATCTTCAATGGCACAATATTAAATAATTATTATATATCACACAAAAAAAAAGAGAGAGAGAGAAAGAATATACGCATGGATTTTATTCGATTCAAATGCGTGAGTGTACTATTCTATGTCTTCTGTGTGTGGATGATGTGAAAATTTGAATAATGAACAAATTCCATATAGTTTAAAACGTGAAATTTTGGATGCACTATTCTCATTATTGGATCACTAACTGATCAGCCGAACAGAATTGACCACATAAAAAAGAATTTTTTTTTAATTCCATTGCCCAATATCCAAAAAAACATTTAAGATATTGCTTGTTTAGATTAATCCAAACTCCATTGTGTACAATCATTATTACCTACGATAGTCCCAAGGATACCTTAAAGATGTCTTTAATATATTTATTTAATGTGGGTGTATATTTTAGGACTCAAACTCAGGATCTCAAAGATAAACTAATCCAACTATCTTGACCAGTTAACTCAAGTGCATTTTGTTTAAAAATTTTTTTTATGAATTATGATAGAGAAGCCAACTAATGAATTGTACTTTGAACGAAATACTATGTTCCTTTGAGAGCCAAATTATACAATGTTAAGTTTTAATTAAGATAAATACCTTTTAAAACAATTAATTTTAAGTAAAGGCTATGAATTTTTGATAGTCCAAAAATGCACCATGGTTTGTGGTTGGAATTAGAATTTTTAGTTAATTTTTTAAGAGTAAGGGTGCACTTTTTGCCTCTAAATTATTTTTCGAGGAGCAATTTTATCTATGTACTTATAAGTGGGGTAATTTTATCCTTGAATTATTTTTTCAAAGAGCGTTAGACACTTTATAGAAGGGCTTTTTTGCTATGTAAAAAAGTAGTTTAGGGTAAAATTGCCTCAATTATTAATGTAGAGATGAAACTATTCTTTAAGAAAAAGTTCAGGAGTAAAATGTATCTTAACTCATTTTGTAAGTATCATATTTGATATTCTCAATACTCAATTATATTGTAATATTTTCAATACTCTTTCCATAACATTTTCAATATTCATTTTTTAAAATTTAATTCATTTCTCATACTTAATATTTCAATACTAATCTTTTATGTTTTCAGCACTAAAACTTAATTTCTTCTTTCATATCAGTACTAAAAATATTAAAGTTGAGCATTGGAGACATTGACATGTTAACGAGGGAAGCTAAGTTTAATTTGCAATTTTGATGTACCTTTTTGAGCATAAATGAGATCTATCTCTAATTTATATTAAAAAGACATCAAAATATTAAGTAATAAAAATATTATGGGTACTAAAGATTAAACATGAGTATTGAAAAAATTAACTCAAAAATTTTTAATTCCAACTAAGAATTTTGGTCTTGGTTTTATATTTTCAAAATTTAAGGTCCTTAATTATAATTAACAATCTTGGAGGGTCCCTATGTATCATTTGACCTTTTTATTTATCCAGCATAATAGTTTCAAAACTAATATATGAAATGCACAAATAAATGGACAAAAAAATAAACATAAAAATCACTTATTTTAGACAAAATAATTCTATTGATAAATTTGAAACAATATTAATGATTATTATTAACCAAACAATCCAAACATGCTACGTTAACATG